ATGTTACACAGAAAAAATATTTTTTAATTTTGTAATAAGTTTTAACAAATAATTTATTTACTACAAAGCTTATTTTGTATTAGATGATCTCATAACAATTATTTTATTATTTGCTATTTTCTATTTTTCCTATTTTACATTAATTGTTGCAGTTATACATTGTTATTTTTTTATTTGTTTCGAATGATTTATTCTTTGATAAATAAGTACTTACAATATGTTTATTTTTTTCGAATGATTTATCAAAGAATTTCTTCTTTCCATCATATTAAAGGCGTTGCGAAATTGATACAATTATTGTAATTATTGCACATTCCGAGTTTATGATAAAATTGTATACAAAAATATGATTTTTTGAACTTATTGATTTTGTATTTAGATGTGGTTTCCGGAAATTTTATCGATTGGATAAAAGACACATATAATAAATCTATCATCTTAAATTTAATATTAGACTCAACTTATTTCACATTTGACGGACTTATTTACAAGCAATGTTTTGGATCACCTATGGGTTCACCATTGTCTCCCATTTTAGCGGACATTGTGTTACAAGATCTTGAGGAGGAGGCTTAGCGAAGACTGAATATTGACATTCCTTTTTACTACCAGTACGTTGACGACATAGCCATGGCTGTTCCACATGGATGTGTCGACAAAGTATTGAATGTTTTTAACTCATTTCATAAAAGGATTCAAACTTTAGAAATCGGGAGTGACAAATTTAACTTTTTAGTCACGAGGATTGTAACGCAACTTATGTTGGTCAAACGAAAAGAAAACTTAAGACTAGAATACAAGAACACATTTTTGATATAAGGAAAAAAAAACAGGTTCCCCTACAGTTGTTACTGAACGTCGTGTAAATGAAAATCATAATTTTAATTGGAACGACATCCGAATTTTAGATAAAGAACTATCATAACAAAAGACTTATATCTGAAATGATCCATATAAAAAGGCAAAAACAAGGTCTGAATAGACAAATTGATACAAAATCATTTCCAGATTCTTATCTTCAAATTATTCATTCTCTTTCTCCCCTTCTTAGTTTCTCCGTTATCATTCTCTCTCTATAGTCCAATGCTCTATACCCCCTCTTATCCTCTTCCATTTTGTTATTTAACATGTCCGTTTTCTTTCCTCTTGACTATTGTCTGGTCATACGCATAAGATTAACACACTTTTAATAATTTGACTTTCTTCGAATGGTTGTTCCATATAACCTTTCACTGCTTTTATTATATGACTCTACTTTATATTTGACTACATTTATTTTTCTCATTAACTAAGGTATTTATACATTTTATTATTTATTAGTCTAATTCAGAATAATTTTTTTTGTTACTATCTTTCTATATATATTTTAGTAACTTAATGACTATTTGGTTACTGTGTAATATTAAATATTTAATAGATCTCTACAATTTTATTGTTTTATCTATTTATATATTTTAAGTGATTTAATGACTATTGAGTTATTTTTTAATATTAAATATTTAATAGATCTCAATGATCATAGGAAGATATTTTACAAGATGATGTACGTATATATTCGGTGCTTTTATGAAGATATTTTACAAGATGATGTACGTATATATTCGGCGCTTATTTATCTAATTGGACATGGCTCAGATTGCGTATTTGTTGAACAGCTTAAGATAGGATTTATTCATTATGTTAACGAATTTTATAATTTCTAATTTTTATATTACACTATTTATTTTTTGTCAATATTGAGAATGACCTGATACTGGTCGAAAACGTATGTTTTATATTATTGTTTATTTTCTTATGTAAGTCGAAATTTATATTAAATGATTTGTTTCAGACTCGTAGCCCTTCTTTGTCACATTATTTAACTTTTTAGATTTGACGTTCATCAATTATAATAACTATTTAGAGTTTGATTCGTATAGAAAACCAACATTTTCTAGGAGATTCATCAATTTCTTCGCATCCCCTTTCTTAAAAAAGGAGAGTCATTATGAATACTGTTGACAAAGCTATTTTACTGGCCCATCCCAAATATCATGAAAAAAATTTATCGTTCATCACAGAAATATTTTTGGGCAATGATTACTCTCTTGACTTTATTTTTGAAGCCATTAACACAAAAATTAAAAAAAACTATCTTGAAATAATAAAAATTTACCTGAAAAGAACAAAAATGAACCTGCTAACAATCAACAAAAATGGTTCACGGTTCCATACATACCTTAATGTATCTGAAAGATTTTGTAATATTACAAAAGACATCAATGCTAAATTGTCATTTTTTAGCAGCAAAAAACTGAAGGAAAGGGTTATCAAAGCTCAAAAAGATGTTCTTTTTATTAATATGAACAAAAATGTAGTTTACAGAATTGCTTGCAAAGATTGCGACGCGACATATATTGGACAAACAAAACAAAAATTAAAAACCAGAATCAACGAACATAGAAATCAAATTAATAGAAAGACAAAGAATTTATCTGTTATCATAGAACATAGGTTAAACAATAAACATGAATTTAAATGGGATGATGTTAGAATTATAGATAGAGAGAGATACTGAAGTAAGAGATCAATTTCCGAAATGTTATTATACATATAAAACTTCAAGAAAACGCAATTAATTTACAAACTGATACGGAATTTTTACATCATAGTATGTGTTTATCCTTAATAATAAACTGTAATATTAAAATTCAAGTCAGGTTTTTAATTTTTTTAAATAATAAAGAACCCCGCAGTTTTCTTATGGGAAAGTACTTTCGGTCAAAATGGCTGAAAATTTAGTATGTGGTAGTTTATAGTGTCCTGATCAAAAGTCTCAATGGGCACGTGGTCCTAAAATCAACAGGTTCTGAGATATTGGAGCTCAAAGGTCAATATGGCCTCATATCGATTATTATGAAAAGTGACATGTTGCTACATTGCCTTTTAATATATACAGTATAAATATTTCATTGGTATATAAAAAACATGAAAAATGTTTTCATTGTCTAGAATATACGTTTATTAAATATTTTGATACATGAATAGTAATATAAACATGTATTATATGGTTTATATAATATTATAGTCATTTTTCGATTTTTTTAAACGTTTCTCATCTTCATAACGCACGTCTATACAATATCAACTAATTATTTTGAAAAAAGCAGATTATAAAATTAACTTGTAACAAACCGCGGTCTTAGAAACATTGTTTGCAAAATTTGTTACAGATAAATCAATTGCTTTCAAAAAAATAATTTGTGAAATATTTGTCAGAAACAAATCAACTAGCTTGAACAAAAAATGGAAAAGATATATTAAAAATAAAAAGAATTTTTTGAAAAATGTTCATTTATTTTTAGTAAATCAAAGCTTTGAAAAAGACAGATTGAAGTAAAAACCGCTACCCAGCCGATAAATAAAAATCTGGCAGCGTATTAGACAGTATATAGACAGTGAAAATGAAGAATTGTAAGTGTTTTATATAATTATGTATGGATTTATGGATTTATAGATTTAAGGTTTATTGGTTTAGGGTTTATGGGTGTATGGTTTATGGGTTTAGGATTCTGTTTCATTTGCTGGATCGATTCTTACTGTTATTCTACACATTCTACACATGACTGGCAAAAAGTACCTAATATTATTTAAAAATAGCTATATCTTCATTATCGATCTTTGAACTCCAATATTTCAGAACCTGTAGATTTTAGGACCACGTGCCCATTGAGACTTTTGATCAAGACACCATAAGCTACCACATACTAAATTTTCAGCCATTTTGACCGAAAGTACTTTCCCATAAGAAAACTGCGGGGTCCTTTCCTTTCTTAATGTTTTATTATCTATGGCATATGTTTCAACTCATGACGTTCTTTCTTAAACATAATTGACATACTTCAATATTTATTTATCATTGGTAATGACAATGTAATTTTGACTTGAATTTGTAACACGGAATTTGTTCTAACGTAATTAATATTCTAAAAATGAAATTAATCAACTTTAATTGCATATTATCATTATGGCGCTCCCATAACAATGTTATACTTGATGTGTTGGGTGAATAGAAATAACAGCTGTATTGTTAATTATTGCGAAAAGTTTTTTTTAACAAAATACTAACACATTAAACAGGGTGTCTCAAAAAAATGGATCGAAACACAATGGGGACGTAGATTGGATCAAAGGGAACAAAATAGTTTTGTACCATTTTGCAGTTGACGCAATATTTAACGAGATATTAACGTTTAAAGATAGGCGAATACAAGCGTCCGACCAGCCTACTGCTCAAGCGCTATCCTTCTCCTCCCTATGCGCGCCGTTCTGAGTGGCTCGCTACAAAACTATTTTGTTCCCCTTGATCCAATCTACGTCCCCATTGTGTTTCGATCCGTTTTTTTGAGACACCCTGTAGATCTTAACAGTCACACAGCTGGTTAAGGAGGTTATTCTTAATACTCGAATTGGTCATTTCAACCCTCCAAGTAATGAAAACTTCTAATTATAAGCAGTGATATATGCTGAAGATGACTTAAACAAAGTCGAAACGTATTAATAAAGAAATAATGTTATGAACTTATTATTTGTTATTATTATACAAAAATAGATATACCCTAAATTTAACTGCGTTTACTCTCAATTGTCCATATCTCACATCGAAAATTAATTCTATAAATCGTCTACGTTTATGAATTACGTGATAAAGGTCAATACGGCTTTTTGTTGCCCTCTGAGCAAATTATCCTGACTGCAGGAGAAGAGACTTTGGATTCTATCATAGCTATCACGCTTAAAGAAGCAAAAACTCTAAAAAATATGAGTATGAATTTGACACCATGAATGATTTGTTCTTTGGTAAATCATTCGAAAAAAATAAATGTATTGTAAGTACTCATAATCTCATCTTATATTCAATATATTATATTTCAAATTTACAATATATACTGTTACTATATTTGAATTTTTATATCACATAAACGATCGTTTGAGGTAATTTTTACACTTTAGCAGGTGTCAGTAGGTTGGTGCTACGAATTCTCGTCATAAACTCTTTCTATTATGCACATTAGGTCTCGGAAACTCCAACTGTAAAATAAATATGAATTAGAGTCGATATAAAAACCGTAATGTAAGCTTCATTTTTGCGACGCTGGGATGTAGAAAACATCCCAGGTGATTATTCTCGGATTATAGTTTAATATCTATATACTAATTTTACATTTTGTTGATGCACCTACATATTACTACCAACATGGTGAAAATTATGTAAACATCACTTGGTGTCAAATTCATAGCCTTTCTTTTAGAGTTTTTGCTTCTTTAAGCATGGCTATGATAGAATCCAAAGTTTCTTCTCCAGTCGGGATAATTTGTTCAGGAGGCAACAAAAAGCCATATTGACCTTTATCACGTAATTCATAAACGTAGACAATAGATTTATTATACACGCCTTTTATCCAATCGTTAGAATTTCCGGAAGCCACATCTAAATACAAAATAAATAAGTTTAAGAAATCATATTTTTATATAATTATCATAAACTCGGAATGTGTGCAATAATTTATCAATTTCGCAACGCCTTTAATATGGAAAGAAGAAATTCTTTGATAAATCATTCGGAAAAAATAAAAGTATTTAAACATAGATAAGATATAAAGACAGACATATGGATGGACAGAAGGATAGAGAGAAAGAGAGAGAGGAAAAAATAAACGAAAGTTTTTTCTACGTACATATTGTCTCGGCAATACTTCCGACTGTGTAATTAGTTCCATATCTTTTTGCGAGAGCTGTAATCGCTTTCATGCCAATATCATACTAAAACATAGAAATAAAATGTAAACTTTGTTATATTCTATTATTTTTATAAATAATTATCTGAATTAATTAGAATTATAATCTTCGATTATTTATATACGATATTTCAAATTGTTACTTATAAATAGTTATGTTAACAGTAAGATCATGAACTACTTCAAATTTCTTCTGTCATAGAATTGTGAATCACTTACTATTAAACTATTAAACTATAATTAAACTTGTTGTTAAATTTATGTGAAGAATTATTTCCTTCTCAATATACATTACACATATATATAACTACATTGATTTGTAAGTTAGGTATCGTATTTTTTAGCTCAAAATTATATATAGAATATGTTCGTAAAAAATATGCGAAATTTAAATTTCATAAAAAGGGTTCTAAAATTTAAAATGTCTATTTTCGAATATATTAACTTTCGTTACTATATTTTTTTAGTGTCTATGAGTTTGGCAATTTTTATATATAGAAAGTTATGAACTGGACAAAATAGGAAATTTTTTTCTCATTTTATATGCCTTACGTGCCTAAAAAATATTTGCAAAAATTTTTTACTATCTAACGTGAAAGTTTAAAATTTTCTCTAGAAAATAATTTTTTTTTACTATTCCTTTTTTGTTACTGAGTTACCCGCGGGTTAAATAAAACTTTCATTGTTCATAACTTTGTTAAAAATTATCCAATTTAAAAAAACAAATTCTTAAAGCTGAAACTCTATCGAACGATATAATTGTCAATTAAAAATAGAATGTATATAAATTTGAGTTAAAAATATGACATTACTTTACTACTTTTAAAACAGAGATTTTAAGCTTTAAAACTCTATAATTTTGAGCTAAAAAATATGATATTATCCTTTCAACTGAATAATTACAAAGAAACTAATTGTTTTATTAATTTAATACTAGTTTTTCATACATAAATATTTTATTATTAGTTTCTCAAAGCTATATTTGTTTTATAATTACAATCACTCACCATGTTGTCGTAGTTATCAACACGATCTGTTGTATAACCATAAGGGAACATCAATAGTTGCGAATAGCCGTGTAACCCAATATACGCGTAGAATTTGTCGGAAATGGAATTGATATATTCGGACATGCTCTTTATCTCAATTTCGGAGAACGCCGCAGGTCCGGCATAGATTTCGGAACATGGGTGATTGTTAGAGCCTCCAGCTGAAAATGTTAAATTATACATAAATATACATAATATTATAAGAAACATTCAGCACATCTTAATATAAGCTCTCTAAAGTCCATAAATGACCTCTTTATGACTTTTTATTAGAATATTATTTAATTTTTTATCATTATAGTTTTATAATACAATAAAAATTTACTGTTCCATTTGTAACCCCAATTTCTGTTGGGGTCACTGCCATAACAACCGGAACCGTACGGCTTACGTGTCTTTCTCCACAATCGATTCTGAAATAAATTAAAAATATTCGTGTAATTAAGCGTTAATTTATAAATTAGTTAACGATGCTTTATATCACATTATAAAACAGCATTTACCGTAGTGTGCGTGTACTCGTATCCATCGGGATTGAACACTGGGAAGATATACCAATCATGGCTCTCAGCCAGAGCCCTGACCTCCGTGTTGTTGCTTGTCAACAATTGATGGAAGATGTACATGGCAGTTGCTGGCGCAATCCATTCGCTGGCATGAATGCCACTTTCAATAAAAACTCCAGGATTGTTCGCTTTAAAAGAAACCTTGACACCTATGATTAGACGTCCCTCATATGTCTTGCCGCCTACTATAGTTTGTACTATATTAGGATATTGCTTTGTCAAGTCATGTAGATTCTTATAAATTGTATCGAGAGGGTGGTAATTTTTAAAATCAAATTCCATTGATACATTTGCTGGCGTTGTCCGATTGATTAATGTCTGAACATTCTCAATACAAACTTCGTATGGTGCTTGAATCTGCGCCATCATTTCGTAGAATTCTGGCAGCTTGTGCGGGGCTACCATAAGTTCCACTTGTTTACTTACAGACGATGCCCTCCAGAAGGAAAACTTTAAATGATATTTAACTTGTTTATTTAAAAAAAAATAATGTTAGTATAAAAAATTAATTATGTATTAGTCAATTTTTATGTCTTCTAAATGTTGTATGATAAATAATTTGATAAAAACAATAATTATATAGGACTCTCAATTTTTAAAAATATAACATAAATCAAGGCTAATGAGAGTCAGATGATCAGGCGCAAGATCTTGAAATAATGAAGTTTACGTATATTCTATCGATAAACGATGTTTTCTTCATTTTGAACGTTTCAACTTACTTTGGAGTTTTCTTCAACAAAATTTTAAATAATTTGATGTGGGTAAAGCTGATTTTATAAATTTTTAGCAATATATGTACGTTATACTATTGTTGAGATTAATTTTTTAAATTTTAGTTAATATACAGTCATATAAATGTTATAAATCTCTTAAGAGAGAGAAATGTAGATTTTTGCATAAGATATATTAATTTGTCTTTATTTGTCCTTAATTTTTATGCTTGAAAGATCTACTCACTCCATCAGAAATTTTTGTCAAACGATTAAGCAGCTCAGTCTCCATCGATGTAGTCATAGTAATTTTGAAGACCTTGTGATTTTCAAAAGTGACCTGCTTGCTGACCACCAATCCCACGATCTCGCATAATATTATGCTCCACAAGATGGTCATAATACTCTTCAATTTTAATACAATATTAACTTTTAATTAACCTTTTTGCGTCACATTAAAAATTTTTTTTTATATCAAGACTATTTTTATAAAATTTATATTTACCTAATAAATTTTGATGTCGGTTTGGTGTCGGTTATTGCAAGAAAATAATTTAATACTAATAATCTGATCTAATAATACTTCGTGTCAGATATTAAAAGATTATTATCCCCTGCCCAAATTTTACGAAATAATGAGTGCTTAACAGGCCCGTGTCTGGTAGTCGACTCTGATCTCACGTTCTGACATTCAGTCGCTCGCATCTTTCGCGAATATTCTCCGTACACAAAATATTATGTTATTATCGCTGTTGTTACAATTTGAAAGAATCGGTTAACTTTTAGATAAATTGCTGTTTCATATTAAATTATCAACGATTATATATTATACATATTATAAATTTCTGCACCGATACAAATTATTTCGACTCTGCTCCATTTAAATAGTCGAAGAAATGTAAACAGTCGCTCGACACACGAAATTAAAAGCCTATTGTCTATGTTTCCTCGAACGTCGAGCCGTGTGCACAGATAGAATCTTTGTATACGTATATTCTCATTGTATATGTGCCGCGTATATGTTTGGCTCTCCAAAGTCATGACGATATAATCGCCACAAAGTAAATACTAATGTGATTTTTGCAACATAGTATTTAATTTATGTAATATGATTTATGAGTAATTTGTTTCAAGAAAATCGCTTACCTTTTTGTAAAACGGGAGCACTAGAAATTATCAATAAATAAATTTATGTACGGATTGTACAGTTATATAATAACACAAGAGTATTTTCAGAAGGAAATCGAATATATTAAAAATTAAAATTTTATTTTAAAAATACATAACGTGTACTAAAATACATTTACTTATATGCCGTTCAATTATAATTGGAAGATTTGAAAGTCCTTATCTAAGACTGGCCGAAAATTCTCTTAAAAAGCATGTTTCGACGATAAGCTGTAATCAATAATAGTAATAATTGGACAATAAGTAATTGCATTTTAGTGCATTTAGTGCATGAAATGTACTTTTAAAATGTTATTTTAATTTAGAATATATATTCGACTTCTTTTCTTCAAAGAACTGTTGACGACTATTTTGTGCAACTCACTGTAGATACATAAATGCACACGGTGCTAAAGTTGCATTATCACACAAATTTATGTTATCGCGATAATGAATTTTCACTTCAAAATTGTTTTATTTTAAAGTAAAAATGTGTCAAATATTTGTACACCTTGAAAAATAATTGTACCATTACTCTTAAAAAATAAAATCTAAGTCATATGTATGTATCTTCGTATTCCTATTCATTTTTTTTATTCCAACTCAAGTAGCGGCTCTGATTTTCCTTAAATAAATAATGAAATTACAAAATTACGCCATTTACAATCAAATTTATGCACGTTATGTAATCTAACTCAAAAATAATACTATTTCAAATATAATATTATAGCTTTTTGTTTTAATTCAAAATTTTAAAACATTTAATACAATTTAACGCTACTATCTTAATTTAATGTCATTATGATTAAATATGGATATCATATATATGGATATCATATATTAGCAGTACCAAGTTTTTCAATATTTTTGAATTTTGGGTTAAAACGAAATACTACCATTTGCATTTAAACAGTACCTATTATTTTTTTATTGGAAATTCGAGAAAATATATCACTTGGATGGAGTTAGGTAATATAATGTCCATGAATTTGTTTTAATTGGCGCAATTTTATTGGAATAGAAAGAATAAATTGAAATATAGAAATATTCGTATCACTGCGTTTTATTTTTTAAAAGTAATTACAATGATTATTTTTTAAGGAGTTAATATGCTTGGCGCTTTTTTTATCTTTTTTCTGAAAAGATAATTTTCTAATTCTTTTTTATACTAAATTTGTGAGTTAATAAAGATCGCAAAGTTCAAAAAATAAAAATAATTACATTATCTTTAAGTATTGCTTTTCAAAAATCTGTCGAAAAACAGCGCTCTTTACTTTAATAGCACACTTGATTCGCTAAAATTTTTCCTCTTTGTGGCAATATCGAGATAATAACTGATAAAACTCGCTGTCATAGCTAAATAACCCTGGCAATAGGTAATTTTACCTGGAAAGTCTCGAGGGAGTTTTTGATATAGTAATTTGATGCTCTTATAATCAATTTAAATTTTGCCATAAAAAAATTGACGCGCCAGCGCCGCCATATTGGACAAATGGCTCATATTGGAAAAATCGGGAAAAATCAGTTTGTCGCATATATCTCAATCTAGGTGTGTCTGTCGACAAAAATATTTCTATAACAAATTGTAGAGGAGAAATTTCCTACAAATTATATCCAATAAATTTTTTTGTCGGATCAATAGTTTGCCCGTAACAATCTATCAAAGGATGCTTTTCGGCAAGGACATAGTCAGACATTGTGTAACACAGTGAGTCATCCTTATTTAACGTAGGCAAACAACAAGGATGTAATGATTCACTGTGTTACACTGTGTCTGACTGTGTCCTTGCTGAAAAGCATCAAAAGTGATGTAGATTTTTTAATAGTACTAAAAATACTTTTTTCCACACCACTCAGGAGGTAAAATATAAGGCGCTTTTTTTTTTACATGGTTTTTTTTCCCAGTAGGTCTACTCTACAGTAATTTATTTTATTTTTGAACGTTTTTGTATACCTGATAGACCGGGTTTGCTGATTTCGCAGACAATGTCATCAGAAATTAATTGTTCTTCCTTTTCCTTTCGAGCAATAAAAATAATAGGAGTGATGCAGTGAATATCACTCATGACGTGGAAAGTATTGAATCCATCTAATGTTTGCGTATTGAAATCTGCGTTGTTGAAAACGAATTAAGAAAATGTCTTTTCGTCAATCTCGAGTGCTGACCGCATAACTGTTGACATTTCAAAAATTACTGCTTCTTCATATGAAGAGCAAAATCCCAATGATGATAATATTTTTAGTAGTTATTTTGATATGTTTTTTAATATAAATACTACCATTCCGACTTGCAATGACGACAAAAATAATTTGGATCTTACAGTAAAAATTACACAATGTGCAAGAACAATACACTTTTTTTCCATTTTGCCACAGAGCTACGTTTATTCTTCAAAATGATATTTTCGAGTAATATCCGTAACATTTCGAGCACAACGGTTTAAACATCTATCAAAAAATTATGGAGGATAATGGGTAATCTCGTAACATGAAAATATCTTTCAATATAATCATTGCCGCCGCTTTCACAATACGTTTTCATTCCTCTTTGGAATTGGATACTTTCTGTTCATACCATGCTTCTGTTAATATTTTATAGCCGGTATTACGGAAACACACAACCGGACATTTGTTTGCAGTTTCAGCAATAATAATATCCTCATCATTTTTGCAATAATCTTGCTTTGACCGTCTTAACGTGTGGACGATAATCACCTTCAATTTGATTCATTAACTCGAGACTGAACTGAAATTCATCCGAGTTTTTTGCAAGATATGAATTAATTCCATTGCCTCTTCAACATTTTCTGCTTCTTCATATATTTTTCTTTTTATTGATAACGGTCGATATAATCTCTTCATACACGAATTGTGATACCTAGTTTCTACTGCTACTAAATCAGAGATTGATTGTATGCGATCAACGATAGCATTTCCCCAATCGTCGTTACGTTCACTCGCTAATTACAAAATATCTTTCATAGATAATTTGGACACCTCATAAATAATTTTACGATTATGCAAAGAAGTTTTTTTCGCTCTGGGCAGAGGGCACTTCCTCTATGCACACATGCGGCAATTAACTTATTGTTTATATATCATTTTCTACATGCGTCGTGAATGATGTTTTAAACCTTTCAAGAAATTAATTTTATCGTCATTTCTTTCATACTTGATAATACGAAAGTCTCCAAACTTTTCTCCTTCACTACAACTCTACCTTTATCATCCACAATTTCTTTACGGATAAAACAATTCACACGGAATGCCATGATAAAATCGTAAAAACGAACAGTAACAACACGATTAGCTACAGCCGCATTGGCCATTTACAAATTCGGCACAGTTGAGGCTTAGCCTTATAATATAAAGACGAAGATATCGGAATACAAAAATAAGCTTTTTGGAGATAGGAAAGGAAAATGAACAGCCTATCATATTTTGAGCCATACTTATATATGTATGAATGGCATGCTATTTGTGTGCATAAATATTTTGTGGGCTATGGTCGAACCGGTCAAGGTAGATGTAGGTATACTAATACGAAGCCCCTATCTCTCTTAAGCAGTCCATTAGAACAAAAAGCCGGACTTACTACCTGTGATTACCTGAGGAATACCTATACTATTGAACCATTACTACACATACATTCATATAATATAACGTAGAAAACGTGGAAAAAGATGCTTTTAGTATTATCGAAATTTTTACGTCACTTTGAGGGACTGTTATAGGCAAACTATTGATCCAACAAAAAATTTATTCAACATAATTTGTAGGAAATTTTCTCCTCTACACGAAGAGAATTTTCTTTTAAAATATACCCTGAAAATATGGTAATTGTGGTACAATACAATATTTTAAAGATTTTTATCATGCATTTCAGTAAAATTGATCAAACTTATTTTATACTTCATTGTAATTTTATTAATGAATGAGAAAGATTTACATTAAAATTCCTCGAAATACAATGTTGTCCCACGATTGTCATATTTTCAGGATAAATTCTAAGAAAAAATTCTCTCCGTGTACAATTTGTTATAGAGGTATTTTTGTCGATAGATAAACCTGGAATGAGATATTTGCGACAAATTGATTTTTCCTCTATTTTTGAGCCATTATTCCAATAAAGCGGCATCAGCGCGTCAATTTTTTGAAAAATGTAAATTTGTTATAAGGGCAAATTACGTAACTATAACTAAATATAAAAATTCCCTCAAGACTTTCCAGGTA